GGGGGGGGGGGGGGGAGGAGAAGGGGGAAGACCCCAAGTTGGTTAGGGGACAAGGCACTAGCTACAGCTCCAACTCCAAGCCACATCAGAGCTGGAGTTGCTATCTGCCCCCACATCTTCCCCAAACCACCACCCTGTGCTCAAATCCAAGATGAGGGGCTTCCTTCCCTTCCCCCACTCCCCCATGTTGAATAAAGGAGGAACCTCCTCTTGGATTTGAATATGAATATATATATATATATATATATAAGTACACAGTCCTAAAGCTATTTTTCGTATTCTCTCCTCCTACTGTTTATTTTAAGCCATCAACTAGACTAAATTCATACAGGAAAACTAAAACAGAGGAGAGAGGGACAGTGTGTATTTAATAAGCAACAACATTTTAGGTTGGGAGGGGTGGAAGAAGACAATTTAAAGAAAGTTTCTTCTGACACCATTTTGTTATAACAAAGGCAAGATGGTGTTGATAACATGTGGCTATAAAAACAGCTGAATGTGTAAGTACAAAATCTGAAGTCATATCTACAGTCATGGGACCACCCTACAGATATCTTTATGGAGTTTTGATTTAGAAGTGTAACAGTGATATAGTTGCCAAGAAGAAATACCCAGAAGGCTAAAAGTGACAGACCTAAGAGTGTAAATTTAACCCAATTCTGCCACCTCCTGTAGCAATTAAAATATTCTATCTTTTGACCAGCAGTCATATAGAGCTTGAAGGCCAGATTAATCTCACAAGCTTATTTGCATGACTCTCAGAACAGAGTCAGACTGCTCTGATTTTCTACACACTTGTCAAGAAGTTTCTATCTTCCAAATGGTAACCTTAACATCATGTCAACATTAAACTACACAACTGACAACCATATTAGCAGATTGAATAGGCAAGAGATTAAGTGAAGTCCATGTGGACCAAAACTGTTGCAAAGGAAAATGCAGGAAGAGGACAGGAGACCTACAGGGAATGGGGAAAGAGGCAAGGAAGAGATGGAGGGGCCTTTCAGGAAGCATATTTTTCACCCTAAAGGGAGTGACAGTAAGATGCTAACTGAGTCACTGCATGAACAAGCCATTCTTTCCTTGAATATTACATGCCTCCCACTAGTACCCCTGGACAGCAGCATTATGGAGACACCCCACTCTCACATATGATGTGGGCACAAAGGGCATACTCTTGCTGGGTTACAGTATAACCCTGATACTTCACAAATCCTCCTTTCAAAGAGACTGGAGGGCAGGACTGGGGGTCAGAACAACCTTAAGAAGTAACCTAGGGTACAGAGAGTCATAGGGAAGTTGCACGCAACTGTTGAGCATTCTAGATCAGGGGTTCTCAAACTTTCTTCCTAAGGATGGGCCTGGCTCCCCGGCCCCTGCCCACACAGCCCCAGGTGCAGCAGGCAGGGCTCAGTGGCAGGGAGCCCCAAGTCCTAACTCACCTAAGCAACGGCAGTGCAGCACCTTCCTGCTCACCTCCAGTGCCACCCACAAGATGGAAACTGTGGGGCTGGGACCCACCTCTTCCTCAGAACTGCCTCAGCCCCAGGGGGCCAAGGCAGCTCCTTCCCACACCATGCCAGGT